GGGCAAATAAAGTATACTAAATTTTAGAAAAGAGATAAAGAAATCCTCCACAGGAAGTTGATAAATTTTCTTAATCAAATATGTAGTTTACTTTATTTTCACTTACTTTGCATTATAGGGAATACTATGGTTATTGCAAGGTCAATAGCTAGAGATGTTTACTGGTTGGTGAGGGAGTTTAAATAAGAATATATAACATTGATTAGTGTGTAACAATGGATAAATTGAAACATGAAAAAGGCAATCCTAAATTAGCTTGCTTTTTGAAAGGATACGAGAATGATCTTCTTATATATGATCCTTCACCAGTTTTAGTTGTTAACTTCAATAACTAATCTCCGCATCTATCAGCACTATTTAATATTGAACCCCAATAAGAGGTTCATGATGTTTAGAGTATTGATTCCTATATTTTCCACGGTTTTTTTCAAAGTAATGTTAAAGATAGAAATATATTAGCCAGTTAAGGAAATAAGCAGTCATAAATATCAGGATTTTTTGAGCTTGTTAAAGGTGAAACTCATAGATAAATATAATTTTTTGAAATAACTTTGAATCTTAGTCTGAGCTCAAACAAGTTGGAATTAACAGTATTGAAAAAAACTTAATCCTCAGATTTAGATGACTAAGATAACGAGGAATAAAATTAAAAAAATGACAAAGAATACTCAAAGAGGGACATTTAAGATGATTATGTAAAGTGTTTTAGATTCTAGATTTATAAAAGAAACTTATTCTGTGGTGTAGCACTTAAAAATTCAGGCTTAATTGATATTTATTACAACTATTACAGAGTTTACAGATAAGATGTTCGCTAAAAAATAAATAGTCTCCCCGAAATTAATTAGATCAGATTCTAAGATGCATGCTTTACAGAACATGAAATAATTTTGGTTGGTCTAAAATATAATAGTGCATAAATTAGCTAAAAAGAAGAAGATAAAAATTACATAAAAAACTTACTTAGTAATTTTTACGAGTTCAAGCTAGATTTGAAATTCAAAACCAGAATCGGACTAGCTGTGGCCTAAAAATATTAATATGCAAAAGAGGCATGGAAAACTGAGCAAAACTGTTTTCTTTCTAAATTCATCAACTATTTTAGTCATATGACTCTAATAAATTTGCACTTTATCGTAGCATTTGAAAAATTTATTGGGATTTACGATTTGAAATCACAAACATGGGAAGACATTTTCAGGTTAGAACATAAAATTGCTCATCTAGCAAGTTACAAAGATGCTAGTAATCAATATAACTATCTTAACAATATTAATTATAGGCTATCACAGACACAAATTTGTAGTATTTACAGCCAATCATGAAATTCAAGTTTATGACAATAAGAAAAGGTGTTATGGTTTCAAGTTGATTTGGTCATCTAATTTAAACAATTCGCCTATTACTTAGGTAATAAATGACTTTGAAAGTAAAGAGAGACTTTATTTCGTCACCATGAACAATATAGTATTATTTAAACTTAATGAAAATCAAGAATCATAATCTAAGTAAATATCAATAATAGAAACTAAAGATAAATTAAGCCGAGAAATTAATTTTAGCAGTAATGATCAGTTAGTCCAGCTGATAAAGTCTGACTCTTTGAGTAATAATAATACTTAGGATTTTGACTTTGTAATCTTTAATAAACAGAATAAATCTATAAGATTTCTTTAGAAATAATAAGAATAAACTGCTCCCTATAATTATAATTAGGAGGAATAAAAACTTGGAGATAACTAATAAAAAAGTGTTATCACTGAAAAATCAGAATTGCTATGTCATTAGGTGATTGAAATTAAAACTGATTTATAGATTATGGAATTAAAAGTTGTAATGCGAACAAATTAGTAAGACATTGTTATTTTCTTCGATAACTCTAAAGGATATATTTATAATACAAACAAAGAAAATTTGACAGTAATTAATGATTTAAATCCTTTGAGAGTAATATTATTAGACTAGTCTTATTTGTACTCTATCTATGATAAGAGCAAGAAACATAATACTGGCCTTTATATGCAAAATTTAAAATAATTTCTAGATTAAGATAAAAATATATAACAAAGATCAAATTTCTAACTTAAAGGAGCGTTAGGTGGTAGAAATTAATTCTTAGATTATTATAAATTCTGTGAAAGAATAATATATCAGCTAGACTTTTAAAATGTAAGCATGATGCCAATTCTGCATAAAAATGAAATATAATTCTTAGGAATGAAAAACAGGTCAAGGTATCTTGGATTTAAAAGGTTTGATACGCAATTAGTAGCACTAACAGATTAATTGAGTCTAAATTCATGGAATTGCTATACAGGAATGATAAATAAAGTTGAAAGATAAACAATAAATGATGCAACTAATACAAAAATTCTATAAAAATCCTTTAAATTTGCCTAAAATTCAAAATCTTCTTATAAACTTTATGGCTAAACAGCAAATATTGAAACCTATTCTCGTAATTATCATCCGAATTCGATTCTTCTACAAAAGAAAAAAAAGGAAAAGTTAGCTAAAAAGTTAGCAGATATTTTGAGAGACAAATTTAGTATCCATTTACTTAACTCTCAGCAGGAACATTAAAAGATAGAATTATATTAGTTTAAAGTAATGTAAATCACTAAGAATACAATAACTAATAATTACTTACCGATAGTTCTTTATAAGTTTGAACATCCAATTATATTTAAAGCAAGTGGACAATCAATGCTACACCTAAGCTAAGATAATACTAAAATGTTTGAGCTTTTGGATGAATTTCATGCAAACCTCTATATTATTAAATACTATAATAATGAAGCGGATTCTAAATTAATAATTAAATATGGGCAACTTCCTCCATTTAAGAGAGTTACACCGGTTGAAGGTGATAAACCCATAATATGAGACAATAAATACGAAATTATTGAATGGTAGTTAATAAAATCAATTTTTAACTTTCCCTATCAGCTTTCAAAATTTAGTGATTACAACTATCTTTTCTCACCAAATCTAAGTAGTTATTTCGATTATGATCTTAGGTTAAATCAATATAAGATAGTTCATTTACAATTAGAAACAGACATTAACTAATTCTATGAGTAACCAATAAATATAGAATTAAAAACTAAATCTTTTACATACTTTTTCGATTAATCTATAATAAGTCCTAATAAAGATAATCCAAACCAAATAGCAAGAAAGTTTCTTTGGATTGATGAATAATCATTTAAAATAATTAATCAGTACGGATACGAGAAGTTAATGAGATTTAAACTTCCAACAATTTAGAAATAAGCTAGAAGTAATATTCACAAATTCTTTTGTGGTGAAGCAAATTCTTAATAGATACCTCGACATATAAACTAAGTTGGATATTGCAAAATTCCAATGTTTAATTGCAAGATGATTTAGAATAGAGCAAGCAAAATGCATTATTATCTGAACAATTCCTAAGAAAGTGTTAGTCAGGACATAGAATCACGACTACTGTATATCTACTAAAGATATTTTTCTAATTAACATTGCGGTAATGACTAATAAATAATAAATTAGAATGAAGAAACCTCAGATTTAAGGCAGTTTCTTCAAGTTAAATAGTAATAAATTCTGCTGGAATAGTAAATATAATCTTCTAGTTAAATTCATTAGGGGAAATTACAATAACTTTTGGACTAGCATATAAATTATTGAGTAATAGATGATGATATATCAAGAGAAGAAGAAAATAAATTTTAAGATGGTCCTGAGCAATAATTTGAATAAACTAATAGAGACGATCTTAAAAATTCAACTACATAATTTATTAACAGAAATAATATAAAAGAAATTGAAATAGAAGAAATTGATCTTATTTTTGAAAAAGCAAAGGAAAAAATAAAAGGTTTAATGAAAGATAACACAGATTCGAACTAACAGAAGTAAAATGAAAATGTAGTTTAAAAGATTGAAAGTTAATAAAATAAATAGTCTTAACCAAAATTAGTCGATGAACAAGACAAAAAATATCAAGAAAATAGGAATAAATTTAACCCGTTATTATACACTGTAAATTTTGAGAACAAAAATGAAAGGCCTTTTATAGAACTTAGCTTTACATACTATAATTGGAAAATAAGTGAAACTCTTAAAAAAGGAATACTAGGAGAAAAATTTCTACTAAAATAGGACTCAAAAGATATTCGAACACTATGCTTATGTATTTTTCCAGATGGAAACACTATTTTACATGATTTGACATAAAATTTCCTGCTAATTAAAAAGCTTTACAGATTGAAAAACTATCATAATTCATAAAATTAGAACGGCATAAAATTTTAGATCCCATTTCTAAAGAACTTTGAAGGCTAGTCCTTATTGGATCTATTTATTAATGCTGGAAATATTCAAGGACTAGAAATATTATTCAATGTGCTAAGATTCGATGACTTTGACAATCACTCAAGAACAATCTCTGCTTAACTACCATAAGTATTAATGCTAAAATTAAAGAATATATATGGTTATTTCGAAAGTAGAATTCTTGAAACTGAACAGCTTAAATCAACTAAAAGAGGGAAATTAAACTGTTTACATAAGAAAGAATATGCAATTACTTCAGGCTTGTAATGGCCAAATATGAATAAATTAGAAGGCTAAATCTTTAAAGATAAGACAGGCAAAAATCATAAATTCGAAATCAAATTAACTATTCTTGATATACCTAGGATACATGATTTCTAAACTCAAGAATGCAAAGAGTTTCTAGAAGCTTTAGTTTTTATTGATGACATCAAGATGTTTGAAAATCAAGCGATTTAATCTCTCATTAATATCTAATGGACAATAGCAAGAAAATAAACAGTTAAGTATCTATGCATTCCTTTTCTATTTTACCTTTGTGTCTTCTGCTTTTACTCTAATTACCTGAACACTAAAATCGGAAAGAAAAATCTAGAGACTGAAGACTTTAGACTTATTTGCTTTAGTATAATACTTTTGCTAATGATCAGCACTTTCTTCTTGATAAATGAATCTTCTTAAGTCTTTAAACAAGGAAAAAACTATTTTTATTCATTTTGGAATTACTCTGATTTGTCACCTCCAATTTTAGTGACAATAGTCATGATATTTCATATCCTTGAAGTTTGTATTCCTGATTTCGAATCACCAATTATTATAATGACTATTCATAGCTTTGCAAGCATGCTAGTGTGGTTCAAATTCATTTATTTGCTTAGAATTTTCTAGTAGACAGGATACCTTATAAATATGTTGACAAAAGTTGCATGGGACATGAGAATATTTATGCTGATCTTGCTTATTTTTTATCTAAGTTTTACAGAAGCATTTCTTAGAATTACAGAGTTTGGAGGAGAAGAGGTTGATTTTACTTATAACTATGCATATGCATTAGTTTATACATTCAGATTAAGTATAGGTGACACAGATGTAGATAAGTTTGATTTAAATGATTAATCTTTCACTGCTTGGTTCTTGTTCGTATTTTGCACTTTAATTTCAAATGTGATCATGCTTAACTTATTAATAGCAATAATATCCAAGACATTCGAGAGTGTTACTGAAAATAGCAATAGCGCAGGATTTCAAGAAAAAGCTAAAATAATATTTGAAAACCAATACTTGATTAGAGAGTAAAGAAAATAAGAGTTTTGCGAAAAAGATAGTTATATCATTGTTGGGAGGGAAGTTTAATAGATATAGGGAGATAATGATGATAATTTCGATGATATAATAGAAAATTAGTCTTAATAAGAATATTGTTAGGAATAATTCGATGAGGATTAAAATGAAAATGAAAGTGAAAATTTAAATAATGACTTAAGCGATGAAAATGATCCAGTTGAAGAAGCTAATGACTCAGATAAAATGGATGGTTTTGTAAGTTGATTAAGATTTATTATTTTTTTAGCAAGCCTTTCTAGGAACGGCAATTTCCAAATATATCAAGAACTTCAATAATGACTCAATAAAAAAAGCAAGTAAAAGAAAAAAAAGAGGATTTAAATGAAAGGCTTTTGCTTAAATTATGAGAAAAAGATATTAATTGAACTAAAACTAAGAATATATTAATTGAATAATAAAAGTTTTAATATTAAATCAGAATTTTAATTATAAAATTGAAAGAATCTTAGATAAGGGGTTTTGGGGTTTTGGGGTTTTGGGG